CAACGCTTTGAAACGAAGGGTCGTGTTTGTTACATTTTTATAGGCTAATATGTCATCTCACATATACTGTTTTTCAACCTTTTAAATTTTTCGCTTCTCAAAGTTAGGGGTCTTGTGTATCGAAAGGGAACGAACAAACATGTATCAACATTCATGTCGATCACACCAATTAACAAGGCGACCAAACCCTTACTACAACCAATGATCGCACCAACTTGACCATTTCGGTCACCCCTTCCGCCTCACTCATATTTCATTAAAAGGTTTTGGCACCTAGATCGAAGTCGCTGAGACTCTCTAAACTTGTATCACTCAGGTTTTATATAAAGGTTTTGACATCTTCGATCACCGAAGAGACTGAAGTCACTGAGATCCTCCAAACTCATGTTGCTTAGATTGTATAACTAACACAGTAAATAAATAGGATTAAGGAACTAAATCAAAATCAACAATCACACCTAATTGGTAATCACAAAGTAAAAGTCCATCAACACTTTACTAGTTAGGCCGAACACTCCTTAGCCAATGAACAGGCCAAACACCCCCTTAATCAATGAACAGGTTGAACACCCTTCTCAACCAACGAACAGGCCGAACACCCCCTCAGTCAATGAATAGGCCAAACACTCTCTCGGCCAACGGCTAATCCAAAGCCTGTAAACCTATCCTCAATGTTAAAGGACCAAGAACTTGGAAGACCAAGCACCTCATCAAATAGGGAGTAGGCCGAACACTCCCACAGCCAATGAAGATGCCGAATATCCTCTCGGCCGACGAACATATTGGATGGGTATTCGGTTATGACAAATATCCATGAGGTAAAGTAAAACAAGTGTTAATTACATTAAACACATCCACGTCAACTATAATCAATATGCAAAACCTTGTGCAATAGTCCAATAATCCAAAAAGTCCACTAAACCCAAGAATGTCACTATAAATATGATATTGATGGGATTGATGGGACATGTATAATTTTTTTAATATAATAGTTTTTATTGCTTTGTACCAAATACTCACTTGAGCATCGGAGTGTCTTTATAAGTACCCTCCCCACCACTCGGAAATAGGGTTCGACCAGTACTTGAGATTTAGGAGACTAATTAGCAAGAATGACAGAAAGAATGTTCCTAACAAGAACAACAAAACTAATCGTACTATAATTTATATGAATAGTTACACAAATTAAAATAAAATTATTATTGATTTATTACTTACCTTAATCCTTATATTTATCTTTAAAATATTAGAGTACTATTGCAAATGTTTCACCAATCAGAATTTTTTATTAATCAAAAACCACAAATTCAATGTTAGAGATTTATTCATGTACCTTTTAGACAAATAGAGATTTCATTTACATCAAATTTTATAGAGATCTCTCATTTACATCAAATTTTAATTCACTTATTTATTTATTCTTTCATAATTAAATTAGCGGTGAATTTCTTCCGGCTCTTTATTCTTATTGATTGTATTGGACAATAAATATTTGCATCTTAATATACAAATTTAGCTGAAAAGTAGTGTCATGACATAATTAAGGTTGTTTTCTTAACTTATCACGAAGAAAAATGATTTGTACACTCATATATAAAAGTAGTTTTTTTTTTCTTTAAAATATATTGATATTAAAAAAATGACAATAATTAAGCAAAGTCAGAGGACGATTAATTCATCAAGCTAAATCAATCTATATCAAAGACAAATTAATACTCCTAATCGCTGGACCATTCCAATAAACCTATGGTAATTAAGCAATCCCACCTATAGCTATCTTGTACAAAAACCAAATTGAAAACAAAAACTGCTTCTTTTACTTTGTATTCACAATTATTAAGCTATAGTAAACTGTTGTCACTAGGTGACCTTTATTGAATTTAGAACTCCTATGATGGTTCTTTCAATGAAGACAACATCTTTACATGTTGGAAACTTTCTCCTTCTCTAGAATGGACTTGATCAACCTAAAATTGACATACGCTCCACGCTTTGTAGCCACCTGTCTGCCTCATGTAACGTCAATGTGAATTGTGTGATGTAACCTCACTTTCCTTTTTTTTTTTCTTTTTTCTTTTTTTTCCTTCATTGTCCTCGCGGGGTTTAAAACCCTTAGTATGATGAATTTTTGTTAGCACTATTATTATGTGTTAAATAATTAAAAATGATAATTAGTAAATAAGATTACAAGTATTCAAATTTAAAAAATTAAAATGGTGTAATATTTATAAAAGTACACGCCAGCAAAACTCCATGAATATAAAGTGAAAAGAGGAAAGTTGTAGTTGCTGCGGTGAATAAAAGTTACGTGCATATTTTAGAATCGTTTATTTCTTAATGAATTGTTTTTGGAAGAAATAAATTGTCATAAACCACATTGTAGTTTTAATTTTATATTCATGTCGATTTATAACGAAGCAAATAAAACTACTAAAACTGAGTCCCACCCAACGAAACACAATCCTCAAAGTGAATTCTATGACCACTCAATATATATGTTTGGACCCACTGGTTAACGGAGACAGATGTCCAAGTGGCGTTTTTCCTGCCTTTGGTTCATAGATATGTCCCACATCAATTTGGACTTTTCTTTTTAGTTGCGGACCAATTTTCTTTTATTTAGATTACTTTTCAATTTCAGACAAAAATGCAATATTTACATTAAAAAATATTAGAAAATGGCCCATTTTGGTATTGCCTCCAAATACAATACTATTATTATTATTATTATTATTATTATTATTATTATTATTATTATTATTATTATTATTATTATTATTATTATTATTATTATTATTATTATTATTATTATTATTATTATTATTATTATTATTATTATTATTATTATTATTATTATTATTATTATTATTATTATTATTATTATTATTATTATTATTATTATTATTATTATTAGTATCTGTTATTTCAAAAGATGACATAATACCACTTTAATCTCCTTTTGATCGAAGTTTATACAATTTTTTTTCTTATCTTTTATTTAAAAAAAAAACAATATTAGGTATTGATTAATCAAACTTTTATCTTCACTTAATTGTTAATTATTTTTCATGCTTAGAAAAATAGTGAAGTAAACCTTTAATATGAACATTTCTATGCAAGAAGTAATTCAAACATGTCTCTTATATATGTCTTATAATTATTGTGGTAGTTTAAAGATAAAAGAAAGATGTTCAAATTCAAGATATGAAAGGTCTCCAAATTCAAAAAAAATACCTATGAATAAAAAGTAATCATCTAATCGTGCATGACATAGTAGACAAATTAATATTATAAAGTTCACGAGGAGTTATCCCTCATTTTAACTATGAATAATTAATTTTCCATTTTTGTGCATTCCCTATTGAGTATTTACCCTCCTTTGCCACCATACCACCATGATCTTCTTGTTTATGTATATGCAGCTTTATAACACGTACTGTTTTTATTAGTCTTGAGATCTATTCTAGAGAGGAAACAGAAAAAGGTTAAAATTAATCTAAAAAAAATAGAATTGAATGGGATTCAATTTCAAAACTAAATAATCTTTAAAACTAAAGAATTAAGAATCTTATAAAACTCCGGTTTCAAAATAAATATAAAAATAAAATTCATATTAAAGAATAAATAGCTTCTGATATATTTTTGAATTTTGTGAAAAAAATTGAATGTATACTTCTTATAACTACCCATTTAATTTTAAGCGAAAATTTTGTGAGAGTTCTTCTTTTTCTTTTAAAAAATTTAATACAATGTAGCAAGTGAATCATACTTCTTAATTATAAGCATTCAACAAAGCAACTTATATGCTTGCTACCAACAATTAATGAAATATAAAAATTAGTTGATGAAAAAATATATTAATTAAAAGCTAGCATTCCCTTACGCATATATGGGTGCACACGCGATTTTTTTTTTTAGGTGTACAATGACCACAATACATACAAAAGGATATTATATTAATTATTTTGAGTATATATATATTAAAGATAATAAAATTTGAATTTAAAATGTTATTGTCCTTAATGGATTGGTTGTCATATCAATTTATTTAAAATCCATAGGAGCTATTTTTTCATTTTTTACATAATAATAAAAGTTAAATATATTTAAGTAAATCAAACTTAAATATACTAGAAGCAAACGAAAGAGTTAACTCTGTTTATGACCTAGCCCTACTTTATAGTTTATCCCTTGGCCGGTAAGATTTGAAGCAAGCAAAACAATATACTTTGATTGAAGCGAAAGTAATTGAGAAGCCCAAAATAATTGTGAGAGAAAGGAGGAGGAGGCGTATAGAAAGGCCACGTAGACGTTAGTTAAAAAGAAAAGGAGTAAAAAGGCACAACAACTACAAGTACGTAGATTTTATCCTAAACTAAACGACACACGTTTTATATAATCATGTGAATGATGTGATTGTCGGGAATTATGTGGAAGCAGTTCGTGTCTTGGGCGGTCTATAGCAGCTGAGCTGTCCCTCTGTGTGGGCCCCACTTTTCTTCCTCGTAAAATCTACTGCCACAACGCAACCCCCGCTCCTGACTTTGTTCCCTTTTGCACTACACAACTCAATGCCCTGTTCCGTTTTTGGCAATTTCTCATTCTTCTTTTTCTCATTTTTTAGTCTTTTTCTTTCATCACCAGAGTCTCGTGCTCGTGGACGTGGACGTGGTGAAGCTTTGTTAAAACGTCTATTCCGTTAAAGCTAAGTGCCCTCATTAATCACTTCAGTAGGGCCGGTAACTGTTTCGATAAGGATCTTCTTCACGAACTCTAATAAATAATACCACTATCACCTTATACAATGCACTGCATCACAAATACATGTTCAACTTCTTTTAATCATTTAGGTAGAGGCCACTGTTGTCAAACCTATGAAGTTTAATCTAAAATTTAATAGCCCCAACAACTGGCTAGCTTTATTAGTTCTTGTGTTTATTTTGAGAAATATTGAATGAGAAATTAATTCAAGAGAGGGAATCTTAAAATAAGAGGACACAAACAGAAAAACCATCTTAGTATTTTGCATCAGATCGTTCATTCAATTCAACCTTATCTTAATGAGAATGAGAAAATATACAGACGTAGAACATTATTGGTGGCGTGGCGCCTAATGGTTATCTATCTATACATGAGTGATTAATTAATATATATGCATGATTTAAATATGAGGTTTGACGCATGGTTCTTTCCTTTCCCAAGAGGAAGCAAAGCCCCACTCCCCGCATCGGTCCAAAACGTTGACGTTTACCCTTACCACTTGATAGACCCATCCTCCAAACACGAGCGTCACTCATAATCGCTCTAACTGTTACAATAACACTTGTAAGTCTAAGATAGCGATAGCGACAACATGCATGATGCGTCCTATCCTATCCTATCCGCTACAACCGGCCGCACCGAATCCCACTCTCCGATTGGCGAGATCGAACTCCACCCACAGATTCTGCTGGTGGAAGTTGCCAATGATGTTACTGGCCGCACCCAATCTCTCGGACCTCCCGATTCCGACGCAGTGGACCCCACCGCCCACGTCAGCGAGCACCCTCTCCTTAGGAACCACGATCTCCACGCCCTGGTCGAACTCGAACACCACGTCGCCTATCAACCGTCCGATCTCGATTGCATTGCCATCAAAACACATGTCAGCGGCACCGCCGTACACGTAGCCCTTCTTAACCCTGGGCCCCACCGCTTTCATTATCTGTGCCCGCACGACGTCGTAGGCGGCGTCCACGAGGAAGGTGAATTCGGAGCCGGAGTCGATCATGGTCTGACCGGAGCCGCCGGCGTTGGGGCGGAAAACGGAGGGTTGGATGTTGAGGCGGTTTCCGTTTATTGTTATGGCGTGCATGGGGAGGGTGTAGGCGAAGGGGTCCAAGTTGGGCATGCGTTGACTTTGGGGGAAGGTCAACATGCTGACGTAGCGGAAGCGTGGGGAGTTGGGGTTGTTCCCGAGGTAGAAGGAGCCGGTGGCGGTGGGGGTTTGTCGGTTTGGGACGCAGTATGAGAATTTGGTGATTTTGGCTTGGGAGGGGAAGGAGAAGCGGCCGAGGTTCATGCCGAGGATGCCGGTGGCGTCGGAGGAGGCGGTGGCGCAGCCCAGGATGAGGGGAGGGGTGGTTTGGGAAGGGGAGAAGGTGAGTTTTTCTCTGACGAGGTTGCCCTCGGCGTAGGTGCCGTCGGCGTAGAAGTACTCGTAGTGGCAGAGGCGGTTCCGGTCGCACGTGGTGGGGAGGCTGAAGTCTGGGACGCGTGGCTTGCAGAGGGGGTGGGTGCAGGGGAGGACGTAGAAGGAGGAGGAGAGGGCGGGGTGGAACGACGTCGTTGGGGGGGTTTTGTTGTGGCACTGGATCCAGGAGAGTTGGCTTCCTGTGTCAAGCACCATCTGTTGCTGCTGCGGTGGGGTTCCTATGGGGAGGGTGACCACGAGGGCCATGGAGTATTTGAGGGAGGATTTTACGTTGTAGGAGGAGAGGCTTCTGAGCTTTGGCTTCGTTGGGGTGGAGAGGGGGAGTGAGGTGAGAGGGAAGGAGACTGAGAGTGAGTCATTGCAGGAAACGAAGGAGAAGAATGACAAGAGAATAAGCATGCAGAGTGAAACAGAGGAAAACAGAGCCATCCAGAAACGCACGGGAAAACAAAACAGATGGATTTTTTTTTCTTCTTTTTTTGTTGTCTATTGTCGAATGGAGAGTGGCAAGGTGGGGAGTGAGAGTCAAGTTCGCCTTATATTTATATAGCCCAAACATGAATGGTAGGAAAGTGAATTATTATTATTATCATTAAAAAAATATATGTTATCTACCCTGCCTATTGAATCGCAATATAAACACTTTGAAATTAATACGATTTTTTGTCATTAATTAATTTTATTAAAGAAATATTATAAATTAAGAATATTTATAACATAATAAATAATATATGGGCATATTATATAAAAGTTTTTTTCATTTTTATTTAATAAAAGATGGTTTTATATATAAGAAGTTTATTTACTTTTAGAATGAAAAAAATTCTATGTCAACTCGAGCATGATTACATGAGGGATACCTTAAAAAAAATAGTGTATTCTAAAAAATGTATTACTAAGATTTTCCTTTGTTTTTTTTTTTTTTACATGTACTAAGATTTTTCATGTAATAGTTTACCTTATATTAAAAATGGCTTTTAAATGGCTGAAACTGACGGTGCGTAATCAACTCTATAATATTTTTTCTTTTACATCAAATATATTATCATGTATTGGTCTTTGTTCTTTTATTGAACAGTTGTTTTTTCTATAAAAGAAAGTGTATGAATGCAATTTCCCCTGTCGGAAAGAAACAATTGAAGGGCAAAAGTAGGAAGTGCAACCCCAAAGTGAGGACGCGTTTTCTTTGGTTGAGTGGGTGCATCTTATGATTCTTTAACAAAAAAAACAAGGCGAGTCTTGCTTCACATCCTATATGTGTGATGATACCCAATTAAATTTGGTCGAATTCATATTCTATTTCTCTTTCTCTCTAGCCACCCCTTTTGAATATGGACGGGGTGGTTGAGTTAATTGTCATTTGCCAATCGTAATGGACCTTTCTTTTCCGTTTGTGTGATTAGTATTTGTCATGCCTCCATGCCTACGATCGTTCTTTATTATCAATGAAATTCTGACGTGTGTATGCATGTAATCCACGATTGCCAACCAAATTATCAATTACTTGTATGTGTAATAATGATAGTGTAGAAAGTCCTACTAAAATTCAAAACTACGAGGAAAAAAAATATGAGAGATAGCGATGCCATCTAACTTAACTCATACATTACGAGTTGCTTTATTTCATTCTCTGGAAGATGCTATCTACTCATGACACTCGTTGTTTTATTCATTTCTTTATACATATTAAAAGTAATCGTGGTAACAGGATACTTTAGCATGCTCATTTTATAATTCTCTTATTTGGGCACCCATATTATATAACATTTTGAAAATTCAAGTTCTAAATTTGACTTATCCAGTCAAACTTTGTATCATTTAGCTAGTCTATACAATGGGTCCAAATGAAAGTAATGGGTTTATCTCACAAAATTTCACTTAGGTCCTTATTACCAAATCATTTCCATAGAAAGTATAGGAGGAGAATGTTTGATTGTTTTGTAGCCATTTCCATTGAAGTGAAATTAACTAGGGCATGGACATGTGGTGAAACCCATTGAAGTAAGATTTTGATATGAGTTGGAGGGCCATTGATTTGGGGCAGTGGGATGTTGCAGTCAACTACAGCTTGTCTCCAGCTTGCAAGTTAAAGTAGGCAGCAGCCAACACCACCAACCATTTCTGGCTTCTTATGTTGCTCATCATATAGTGTGCAAACCAAAATCAAAAAAAGGGCACAAAACTACTAATTAACCCCCCATACATAGTTTTTCTTTAATATTTCAAACTCGACACTCCAACAAACTTTGCTTCCTTACTACTTTTATTTTGTGGATAATGATATTAATCAAACTCTGCTGGTTCTTCTATACCTGCAAAAATATTGAAGTTGTTACTCTTTAATTAGGCGTCGAATTAATATTAAATGAATAATCAACAACTTGATACTTGTGAAAGTACAACTTCACCAAAAATGAATTTTTTTTTCTCCTCTAATTAGTCATTTAATCAGAGGAGTTTTTTAATTTAATATTTTAATTAATACTTAAATTTTCCAATTAAAATTAAGTATAACAAGATAATTAAAATATAATTCAACATAAAAATACTTTATTAATTAAACTAATTATGAATATTTTTCAAAATGTAAAATTCTAAAAATTATTTTTTAATTTATATTTTTATTAAATATTTTTACATTTACAGTTTTTATATTACACATATTTAAAAACCCAAATTACAATGGGTGTGATACAGGTTTTAAATATTATAATTATTTAAATTCAGTTAATTTCGATTTGAGTTAATTTTAATTTTAACATAGTGCATCAAAATAATAAACATAAAGGTCATTGTCTTAATTCAAATATTTTTTTTTTAATTTCAAATTTTTTTATATATTTAATTTGATACAATATCTCTTATCTAATAAAATAAAATTTTCGTTTTCATAATCATTGAAGAATTTCATCATTAATTATATTCAACAAATACATATTTTACATGTTACTCAAATTTAAAATTGTCATAAAATGTTCTCAAAACTTGCTAGTTGATTCTAATAATACACGTCTAAAACATTTGCTCAATATTCTTTAGATACTAGCGAACACATACATCACTTGGCGGGAATTGTTTTAATTTAACTAGGAGTGTGAAATTTAAATCCATAAAATAAAAAATAAAAAAAGAAACTGTTTGTATTAAAAATATTATAAGAAAAGCTTTACCAATTTTAGGCATCTTACCTAACTCAAGAACGAATTAACTACATATATAGTGTATTATTGAGATAACGCTGTGTTTAAAAAAAAAACCATAAAGTTATTGGATTGTTTTTTAAATGCATATACTTTCACTTTAGTAATCAGTAGTCATGGCCAAACAAGGGGAGGATAAGCTAGTTGATTAATTAGAAATAACTTATTGATACCAAATTTACTTTTTAATTAGTAAAATATTAAATTACTTGCTGATGAATAAACATCAACGAAAGTTTTTGTCAACACAATTCAACCGTACTAATGGCCACTTAATTGGAACACACTCTTACTACTTAGCAATATATATGTTTTGACATGCAACCGTTTCATTGTTATAGAACCCATGATAAACTTCTGTTTTTTTTTTCCTTAAGAAAAAAACACCAAACAAAAAATGTCGTAATGATTAGAGAAGACAAAAGAAATTAATTAAAAAGGAGACAAATTCAAGGTAAAGAACGTGATAAAGTTAAATCCGTGTGATATAGTTCACGGATTGATAAGGATAAAGTGATAAACTAATCACGAGATATGAATACATATATATGTTAATCAGTGACATATAGTACATCTTTTTTACTTTATCTATATATCATATAAGAAAAAATTAGTAAACATGTTATTCATTTTGGTTTTTGAGATCTGTCTGCGAGTACAAGTTTCCTTCCTTTTGCTTATATGTGCATGGCACTCGTGCGTGCATTGATGCTTCAAGAAAAAGATATATCAGAGGGTTGGATTAAACAATTGCCCAATTACTTTATGGAAGTGTTTGGTTGGAAGACATTTTAAGTTTCCTAAAAGTTTTAAATTATAAATCTTAAATTAACATTTTTGATATGGAGTTTTTACCAAATATATATAGTAATATTAAGAATATTTTTTAATTAATCGTATGTTTTCCAAACAATCATTTTCAAGAGAGGAAGTAATATAAGATTCTTATATGAAGTTAAAAAAGGCAATTAATTTAGACATAATAAACAAATATTGTTTAACATTCTCTAAAATGTTTATTAATATTCAAGAAATATATAGTTTTCCTATGACTATTATATTTTCAACACTATATATCCAAGTGTCGAGATCATTACCATTTTTCCATTATCAATTGTTTAGCTTACTTTCGAGTGAATTAATTAATTGAATCAACATACCTATATTATTATAGAGAAATAATTCACGGGTGACACAAACCATTAGATTAATTATCAGGATTTATAACAGACAAGTATTGTGTCGTTAAATTTACAAACATTCTATCAGGAAATGGAATAATCAAAAGAGAACCAGATATATAAACTACGCACCTTTCACCTGCAATAGTAACCAATTATTGCTCTATATTTAAAGCAAGTGACTCATTTCACCCAAATCGTTACACCATACACCAAAATATTATTATAGTTTAAGTGTGTATAAATTGCCACTTAATGTTTGCTAAGTAGATATTTACACTCGTAATTATTATGAAAATATTTTATTTCGATTTTCATTTTTTATTAAGTAGTTGCTATATATTTCTACATTATTTTTTCTAATTAACTCCCCCGATCTCTTCTTTTAGGGTTAATTTTAACTTCTTATTCTTCTCTCTTTTCTATGAAAAGTTATTTGTTATTACATTTGTAACTTCTATTTTTATTTAAATTATTTTAAATTTAAAAAGATACTTATAGAAATACTAAAATCTAACTAAACACTTTTTTTTTTTTTACATATATTCATGAATAACTTTATTAATTAATATTCTTAAAAATATAATTTCTATAAATATAATATAGTAACTCGAAACAAATGATTCCTAAATATTTCACGTAGTCCGGCCATTCATTGTTAATCAACATCCTACTATGAAATTTGGGATTAGGAACAATAGGTTAAACAAGAAGAAGAAAAAAAGTTGGCCTAGCAATTATTGAGGAAGAAATATAAACATTTGATCTTGTTCATGTCGTCAACCATGCATGATTGACATAGGATAGGACTGGACCAACTATATATAATGTGGGCCAGGGTTGGAACTTGGACTTGAATTATTCAGTCATTCTCCTAAGTCCTAACTCTAATAAATGGGTAGGGAAAAAAAATCTACAAACACAAAGAATATTTCATCCCTCTGTCATGAAAGTCATGTAAATAATTTGGTATCCGTGTAAAGTCCCACTTGCTGTATTTTTTTTTTCTTTTTCTTTTTCTGTTAGAGCACAGTAATATGATTCAAATGTGCACCATTAACAGAAACTATTTCTTATCTAGTGATGTGGCCACAATTGAAATGTAAATGTTGTGGGTGGGATTAT